ATACAAACAAACGAAATATTCATTAGGCGAGGAATTTTTCAAGGAGATTCCTTGAGTCCTCTCTGGTTCTGCCTAGCCCTGAACCCATTATCCAACATGTTAAACAAACACAATATGGCTACAATATCAGATATGAAAAAACAAAACAGTTTACGCTGTCTCATCTCATATACATGGACAACATAAAACTTTATGCATCCACACAAAAACAACTTCAGCAGCTCCTACAAATTACACATTCATACACCAAGGACATACAAATGGAGTATGGCTTAGACAAATGCAAAACACTTCACATAGAAAAAGGAATCCTGAAGAAAGAAGATTTTGCACCTGGAAATGGAGACGTTATTGAATCCATGGAAGAGGGCAAGTTCTACAAGTATTTAGGATTCCAACAGGCCAAACTAACAGAACATTCACAAATGAAGCAAAGATTAATTAGAGAATACCAAAGTAGGTTAAATGCTATCCTCAGAATACAGTTAAATGCAAAACACACAGTTAAAGCAATAAACACATATGTCATTCTAGTACTCACATAGTCTTTTGGAATTATACATTGGACTCACACAGATCTCGAGCAACTCCAAAGGAAAACAAGAACAACACTTACTAAACATAAACATCATCATCCTAAATCTGCTATAGAAAGATTAACCCTTCCACATAAAGATGGCGGGCGTGGCCTGATTGACATAGTTAACCTTCACTACAAACAAATACAGTCACTGCGAGAGTTTTTCTACAGGAAACAAGAAACATCACAATTACATAAAGCAGTAACTCTAGCAGACTCAAATAACACACCATTAAACTTACACTTACATCATACAGACTTGAAACAACATATAAAAAGCATAGACACCATTAAGCAATTGTGGGCTCGAAAGGCACGCCATGGCAGGCATCCTTATGACCTGTCCCAGGATTTTGTTGACAAAACTGCATCAAACAGCTGGTTAGATCGAGGATGCCTCTTTGGGAAGATGGAAGGATTCATGATTGCCATACAGGATCAGGTCATAAATACTAAAAACGTCATGCTAGAAACTATACAACACATTACATCTGGATGCAATCTCTTGGCACAGATTATTTACACAGACACAATCAAGTAGCAAATATAATACAGCAAGAGCTTGCAAACAAACACAAATTATTAGACATTCACAAACCATACTACAAATACATTCCACAGACAGTATTGGAAAACAACACGCACAAACTGTACTACGACAGAGCCATAATCACAGATAAAACAATTTACCACAACAGACCAGACATCACACTAATTGACAAACACAATAAAATCACATACATTATAGACATAGCCATTCCAAACACTCACAATATACAAAGCACATGCACTGAAAAAATTAGCAAGTACACAGAACTCGCCCAGGAAATAAGGCATCTTGGAGGATAGTTAGGGTGCTTATTGTACCTGTTGTTCTCTCCTGTACAGGTGTGATACCACACACACTACACAAAAGCCTGAGAACATTACATTTGAATAGAAATACATACATCACACTACAGAAGGCCACTATATTGAATACATGCCATATTGTTAGGAAATTCCTGAATACAGACACTGACACTGACACACTTATTTAATTTTAGTTTTATTTTGGTTGCTATGCCTTGACTCTGATCCGGCATAGCACACAGCCACCAGTGTCAACCGAGTATAACTCACAAAACCCAACATAATAATAATAAAAGCACATTATTTGATGCAAATTTAAGATAAATGCAGTTATGCATAAATTTCAAAAATGTATTGATTACAAAACATGATACCTAAAAGTAAAGAATCTCACACTGATAATGATGAAAAATGCCCTCTTTAATCAAGAAGAAAAGAAAAGCTATAAAATGGGTCATAAAAATATAAGAAAACAAGAACTGAATAGTACATGAAAACTATAACTAACTGATAACCATAACTTTAACACACATTTCTAAATGCTGTTAAGTGTAAATCAGTTATATAAATTGCTTGATTTTATCCTAAATATATTTGATGTAATTTTGACAATATAATAATAATATATTATGATACTATTATAAGTTAAAATTATCAAATGTTGATCATTATTTTGTTTTTCAAACTGTAAGAAAGACATCCAATTTTGAATAATTTTTTTTTCCTGTCTTTACATTAAAAAGTCATTGTCAAAATTAATAGAAGAATAAATTTAATAAAACACAGTGATGAGATTTAAACTGTAACTATGGGTTATAACCAATTTGCTACCTAGATTGCAATATCTGTGAAATTGTTAAAAGGGCAATATTTCTATTCAAGTGCAAATCTTAACATTTTATGCAAAACAGTGCAATTTTTAGAATTATGCTTTTAATTGGATTTTTACTTACTCCTAGTCAAACAGTTTTGATCTAAACTTTGTATGTACATTATAGACATCTGATGCAACTCCTATACAGAACTCCCCTCATATACACAACCTTATTCTATCTTGAACAAGGTTATTTAAAAGCAGCTTTGACATCCCATTTTGAAATCTGTGGCTCTGTTGTTTTGGAATTGTTGTTATTATTTCCCATGTTCTTGTTTTTAAAAAACTAAGTAAATAAGTCTGATTTGACTTCTTTTTTTATGTCACTTATTTAGGAATTTTTTTTAATTTTCAATAAAAGAAAAAATTTTCACCAGTCTATGGCAAATACATTTTTATATAACTTGATATACAAATAGAACAACATTACAATCTTTTTTATGTTAAAAAAGCATTTTTGCTTAATTTATTTGCATCTTCATCAGTTAAACAATACTCAAATAGAATGATGAGTATAATTTTTTTTTTAATTTTTAGAATGTTTTTTAAAGTTGCATTTCAATAGATAATTATACATCATAATATCAGGATTCTACATTTATTGTTCTTTTAAAGTTATTTACTTATTTTAGATGAATGAAGATAATTTTAAGATATTCACAGAAATATGCTAAAATAATTTTAGATTAATTCACATAGAGGTATTAATTGATCTACTGGAAAGAATTTGTATTTATTTAAATTTTGAACATATTCTAGTAAACATAAGTTACAAATTAGGATAGAACTGAACTTGAGAAATACAAAACAGTCACACCTTTTGTGAAGTTTATCAGATGGGTAGGGCACCTGGCAAAAAGGGTCTGGGGAAAACACTGAATTAAGTGAATGTTCTGTGAAATATAACTTAGAGAGTGAAAAAAAATAGACTCTCAGTTATAACAAATCTTACAACAAAATATCATCAACTTTTACAATGTAATTAGTTTCTGGAAAACTATTGTTAAGTAAACCATACTATTTCCTTTAAGCACAGTGGCATAACATGAGATTACTGGAAACACAGTTTTAACTATATAATACCATACATAGATAATCAGTGAGAAAAGACAGCACATATGACTGAAATACTGTATATAACAAAATATTAATTGTAAAAGTGGAAGGGAAACAAAGTGAATGGTTGTAAAACAGCAATTGTGAATTGTTAAAATTTCATTTCTTAAAAACTTAATTATTTACCTGCAGTTAATAATCCTTTTAAGCTCTGCTTCCAACTATATTTCCAAACAATTTCTCTGATAGCTGTATAAAAATTGTATTTATCAATTAAAAGTATTAATAAAATATATTTGAAAAAATTTTTTACATATAATTTTTATTCTTTAATTTTGAATATATTCAAAAACATTAACAATATGTAAATTTTTCGACTATAAATTCGACTTTCATCTATTATCAGGACTTATTATACTGGTTTTACAGATAATATTACAAAGATTAACAGAAAACAATTTTTATTTTATTTCGTATACCTGTACANATGTATGTTCCCAGGTATACGAAATAAAATAAAAATTGTTTTCTGTTAATCTTTGTAATATTATCTGTAAAACCAGTATAATAAGTCCTGATAATAGATGAAAGTCGAATTTATAGTCGAAAAATTTACATATTGTTAAGGAAAAAAGGACATTGAGGCAATTTAATTAAATATTCAAAAACAGTTCATAAAAAATTAAAAACTCAAAGTTTTTTCAAAATAACTCTGCATTAAAAAAAAAAACTTTGTAAATGGAATATGAATGATATAATTTATTATAAGGTTTTAGAGCCTAATAAAATTATAACTTCTGATGTAGATATTAAACAGCCAAATGTTGCAATTAAACTGAAGCAAGTAATCAATTGTCTTAAACAAGAATAATACACACACTTGTATCAGTTTGATGGTGCAACAAACAAAACAAATTGAGAAATGAATCTAAAATTACCCTCACCACACTCATGTTTGATTTTTTTTTTTATTTATATCATTGCATAATCATTTATATGGTATTTACCATTTAAATGTTCTGTACTTCTTAAATAGTGAAATATGATATTATGAGAAAAATAATGTTAGAGAATGCTTAACAAAAAGGAATGCATGAGAAATGTATATGCACGAGACTTGATATCAAGAGTTCTTGTTTAGATGTTCAAAAACATTAAGACTGAGTTCTTAGATGTATTTCCTTCTTTTCCAAGTAGTTATTTAATTAAACATTTTATATTTAATTAGTAAATCTAGAATTCTTTCTTATAAACAATAATCCCACAACACAGTAGGTATAATTATTTTTTGAGTCAAAACCAAAACATTTTTATTCAGATGAAATCAATAAACTTGTGAAATGCTAAAAAGAAAAAAAAATGATAAGAATGACATTGCTACTACTTCACTCAATACCATTTAAATGCATATATTTGTTATCATACTGTTATTAGAAATCAATAAAATGATTTCTAATAACAGTATGAAAAAGAATATATGCATTTAAAGTAAACTAATATTTGAATTAAAATATTTGATGACTTCAAAACAATAAAAGATGTTATTTTAATTAAGCAGTGCAAACTTATTAAAAGTTTCAAAGTATCAAAGATGTTTAATTTGTCTAATAGTTTTAATATTGTTTTAAAGATAAAACTTACAGAAATTCAGTAATTTGCATTTTAACAATATTGAGCACACTGATTAACACTATTAACAATCATCTAATTTAAGAGGTAAGAGTTTTTCAAAATAAAGCAATAGAAATTAATGATATAATTTTAGTCATAAACATTAGCTAGAATGTATGATGAAAACAAAAAAATTAGTTGATTTGTTGTTCATCTGTTATGTAAAATTGATCAGTATATTTACATCTGATGATTCTTTTGATATTGGTAAGTCAATCCTAGAAAATTAATAAATATGAGAATGTAAAAATTTAAGAATTTAAAATATAACAGTGTAAACACCAGAATTTTCCAAATTCAAGTCTCAGTTAGTATTAAATATATAAATTTAGAAAAAATTATGTACTATCTTGTTTACTAGTCATACTATCCTAGCATTTATGCTTTCACAAATAGAATTGATTAATTGCAATTTGTAAAAAATAAATGATTTGCAAGAGAATTTTGTACTTTTTAGTGCATATATGCAAATTTGCTGAAAGGATATTCTATTAGAATTACTGCATTTTATTTAGCTAATTTGAAGTGATAGAAGTTAACTTTAAATTTATTTATTTTAAGGAATGTTAAGGAATAACTGTTTGTTTAAATATTACAAAATAAATAATTCTAATAATAATAATAAGCTTTTGACTTTTAATAATATATTTTTACTTCTATGCTATGTATGTGGTAATGATAAATGTGACATTGTCAAGTGCATGTAGGAAAAATGTACATGTTATTTTCCTATTAAAATTAGAACAGTCATGATTTATTCTGCAATTTGTGTAAACAAATTGTTTAGACAAATTGTAATGTTGTTAATGTTAATGTTGTTATAAAATAACACAATTATAAATAAATATAAAATATTTGTACAGAGGAAACAAATTGTTTAGACAAATTGTAAATCATCATATTTTAAGAGAGTTGTCAATCTATTCAATTTTTGTAGATGATTCTTACTTACCCAGCAACACAGAGGAAGCAAAGCAAGGACTAAAAAAGGCTTTTGTCTGAAATGTATATGTAGTCTAAATAAAGATTTCAAAAGGAAGCAGTGGTTGTGTGTTCTTCGATAAATAAAAACTGTAAAATCATCTACAGACATTATAAATATATTTAGCATCTACACCAGAAGTTTTTAGATTAAATTTTTTAACAAATTACAAGCCTTCTTTGATTTAGCTTTGATTATCTTTGATTTAGCTTATTATGTAATGTATCTATTATTTAGATATAAAACTTTGAAATTTAACAAAAGAAAGAAAGAAAGAAAATTGTTCAAAGTAATTATAAAATTCAAATTTTTTAATGTTGTTATAAAATAACACAATTATAAATAAATATAAAATATTTGTACATTTGTATTTTAATTCATTTAAATAATAATAGTATGATTAACATTAGTAATTTATTTTATTTTAGATATTTTTTAATTTATTTCATTAAAAACTTTTTCATCAAATTCATCAAAAAATTAGTTTGAATAAATTTGTAATTTGCTTCAAATTGATATACATCATGCTAAATGTTTATATCAAATGAATATAATAATTTACATTTATTTGATTTTGATATATTTAAGGTATCCCTTGATTAACACGGTTGATCCCTCAATCCTACTGCATATATCAAAATCACATTAATCAAAGTACAGTATCTATGTTAGGTAAAGACAGCTGATAAAGCACATAAATTAATTAAAACTTCTGCCGTGTATATAAAAGGATTGCCACAATTAATTTTCCGTGTTAAGCAAAACTGCATTAAGCAAGTGATACCCTGTATTTGAAACAAAATAAGAAATTTTAGCATTACCTTTTAAAACAAAATCTTCACAATTTGGATCTTGAGAGATTGCAAAAAGAACATCTTCCATATCTTGTAAGTAACCATTTCTATTCCAGAGTGTTGTTAGATTTAATCTAACCATTTTTGGAAGATGAGTAAGATGATGCAGTTTGGCATTTGAACTGCAGTCATGCTATACAAAAAAATCAAACTGGACTTAAATAGACTTTTACATTTTATTTCTAATAGACTGCATACTAATAAAAATACTACCTCAATTCCTTTTGATGTAATGTGTAAATTATTCGTTGATTTCAGTACAGGTTCATAAAGTTGAGAAAATGCATCAAGATTAGGATGGACAATATTCTGAACTTTATTTTTATCTTCTCCAAACAACATTCTAAAATCTCCTAAAATTTAGAAAATTATTTTATATTTGTTAAGAGATTTGTATTTCTCAGTTGTAATAGTGACTGCTTATAATTTACACTAATAAAAACACAACTTAATAATTAATTCAAAATAAAACTAAAAAATTAAAAATTTATTATAGTTTTTAATTTAACTAAATTATTGTAAACATGAACAAATATTTATTGTGACATTATCATAGTGCTGGGCAGCAATGTTTAATCATATTTTTAATTTATTTAATTTAAAGCATATGTTTTCCTCTTCAAATTAGTAGTGTCTTGTCCCTCTACATCACACTTTTCCTGTTAGCAATAATCATGCCAGTCATCTAACTCCTTTCAGTGGAAAATTTTTTAATTGAAATAACATGACTTCTAGAACTTTTGGAAGTTCACATATAGTTAATCAGGGCTCCCGCCTTCAATTTCTGGTCTCAGCTTTCATCTAACACCATTCTTGTGATAGAAGAATGACAGTGGGAATTTATAAGTCTACAATTTTTCCAAATTGCAGCCCAACAATGTAAAGATAATTATTATTATTTTACATTTTACTATTATTAATAACTACAGTACATACTACCCTCATTTTATGATACAACATTTTATATCTTCCTTAAAGTTATAACAAGATTCCCACTCAAAATCTCCAAAAAAATTTTCATCTATTTTCTACTTTTCTCAGTAAAAATTAAATTTTTTCAACTCATTTTTAACTTTTCAGAAGAAGACTTTTTACTATCATGCTATTTACATTTTTCCATTATAAATAAAGTAAACAATACTAAAGAATCCATTTCAGTTTTAATTTCTGTAGAAATCCAATGAAAAACAGTAATTAATAATAGTGTGCGAGTCATTCAATTTCAATTGTGAATACTTTAATGGTTTCTTATGAAAAACTGAATTTCAATTTGCATTAGTTCAGATTGTGTACTGTTAAGTAAAAATGTAATCCCAACACAAGAAACTATGAGTGTATTCTTAAAATCAGTATTTGAATTTAACATATTGTAGTATTTAATCATCAAATACTTTCTAAAAATATACTTTCTAAACATATAAAACACTTTTTAAGGATGATGAAAGTGAAGTACTGTACATAACACAATCAAATAAGAGGACAGATTTTAAATTATAAGAATATGCATTTCACTTCGTATCTTCATTATATTTGAAATTAAATATAATTTCAATTTCAATGGTTTATTTTATATTATTATAATTATTAAGAGTATGTTAAATAAATACAAGGTATCTTATAAATGGAAGATACAAGCTGATGATTTTTTTTACATAAAATTAAGAGAAAAATCCTTAATAATGCAGACAATATTATTTGATAATTTCAAAAATCCTTCTAATTTTGGATGCCATCTCAACAATACATAATTAACAGTTTGGCAGTCAACAACTTAAGAGAGCCAAATAACACTTGAACAATATATTCATAATTCATATATGCAGAATATACAAGTTCAGAAAATTTGTGCGTCAATTAATGGAGCATAAATAATTAAAACAATAAATCAAATAAACATTTTAAAATCTACCATCAATTTGTTGTTTGACAGTGAATGTAGTGATAACATAATTCCATGTTTTGGACAATTAATTAATTAATTTGCATTAATTTAGATTTTCATTCATATATTAATTATATATTAAAAAAAATGATTAGATTATATCACTAATGATAAAGTTGTCCTAATTTATGCCATTTTATTCAATCACTAAACACTTAAATTATTGAATATCAATCATATAATTCATATAATATTTGACTTAATTTTTTTTTATGAGAGGATGTCAGAATGTATTCATCCAGTTAACTAATTGATGCAAGATTTCTCTAACAGATCATCAAGATGTCAGACATAATCCATCTGTTCCATTTTGTGATTTATAAGATAGAACTCCATAATTAGTAAAACAGTTCCTGTTTTCAATGTATTCTACAATATCTGTCAAGTAAGTCTAACAAAAGTGTTGTTAAGCATATCAAGCAGACGACAAAATTACTTTGTCTTCTGCTTGTAAGAAATGGTTTTTCCAGAGGGTGGTCAGGCAGCAGGAGGTAATTTTTACAAATTTGTCAAGAGTCCCAAACAGGAGCAGACTTGGAGGTAAGATACTAGCTCAGCTCCAAATTTGACCATCACAGGTCTAGTGAATCCCTTAAAAGGACAACGATCAAAAAGGTAATTCTTGAGTTGTTGTTTTTGTCTGGACTTCTATATTCACTATATAAGCTTTGAACAGGCTTCAAAAAGAACAGTTTTTTGTCCAGATCATCAACCAGTAGCGACAGAACACTACACACTCATCTGCCGGTACAATCCATTTAGAAAATAAAGAACTGTCCATCAAACACTGATCATAAGGTAGCTATTAATTTATCAACTATATATTCTGGAATTAATTTCAAGAAACAAAATATTGCATTAAATTATTACGAAAGTCTATCTTAATTTTAATCTACAATTGTCTCCTTTGCTTGCATCACTAGTTATAATATATAATGTATACCGAACATTTCAATATTTGTACCATATTTTTGTACAAATAACCCAATGGGTTATGTGTTTAAGACAATTTAAAAGCAGGTATGGGTTATACGCCTATTTTAGATTTCAATAAAAAATTCACACATATGGAATAGTAATTTTTTATCCTGCTGCTACTCCTTAACAGTATGATATACATGAGAAAACAAGTTATGTAGGGATTTTACTTCTGTTATAATAATTTTCTGCAGAGTATACACCATTGCATGTTTTAGGCATGAAAATATTGTAGTTTTTCTGAATCTGATTATAAAATAAAATATTTATTTGGGTATAAAACAATATAAAATCATTAAAAATGTATAATATAAGAAACCTGTTTTATTCTTATAAAAATGGTATATGAATTAATTGCAGAAATAATAATTAAAATATGATTCATGTTTGTTCACAAAGTGTACAAAATGTACAAAGTTAGACTTTGAAATAATTTTAATAAGTTTTAAATAATTATTTTATAAAAAAAATACCTGTATATGATAATTCTGAAACTTTAATAAACAATTCTTCTTTGGTAAAAGTTTCAGGTAAACATAATAGAGCAGCATGAATAGCACTTTTTAAGTTAGTATTCAATGCTTCTATTAAATCTTGATTTGAAGGTTTATATATAAAATTCACCTAAATAAAATAAATATTAAATCATTAACAGGACTATTTATTTTGATTAATACTATATAAGAATTTCATATCCTTTTGGACAAAAATTATAAAATCGATTCATAGTTCTTGTATATTTCAAATATCTTATCAGTTATTTTAAATCTATTATTATTTTTAATAAATTGTAATTAAAATGAAACAAACTGGTTTATGAAGACGTCCACTGGCATACAATGTATTCCAAATGTTAAGATCTTGTAATAAATCTTTGGTGCTAATTACACCATATTTAATCATCTAAAAAAATATAAAAAATATTTTTAAAAATAACTATACTAGATTTTATACATTAAAACTAAAATCCTTTGTATAGCCAACAACTTATTAAATAAAACAAGCAAATTATTTATTGTGGCATTGTCACAATGCCAGGCTACAATTTTTAATCATATTTTTATTTCATTTAAAATATGCACTCTCCACCTAAAATTAGTACTTTAGTGTCTTGTCCCTGTACATCATATTTTTCTATTATCAATGGAGTCGTGCCAACCATCTATTAACTGCTTTAAGGGGGAAAAAGTTTTGAATTGAAATAATTTGACTTCCAATTTGCATTGGAAGTTTGTATATAGTTAATGGGCCCTCCTGCCCCATGGGTCTAGTCTTTCATCTATCTAACTCCATTCTCGAGATTAAGGAAAGACTGATAGATGAACGGACAGAAGACAGTGGGAATTTATAGGTCTATGATTTTTCAAATTGCAGTCCAAAAAAGCTGTTTTTAACAATGACTATAGTGCTTTTCATATTACAAGAGTTTGTAAGATAAAGATAGCAACTATGAGGGCTAAAAATTTTTGTTTATGCTTAATGTACAAAAGTTTTTTGTTATATGAAAAGATATAAATTCTAATAATTTAATTCTTTAGATATTAAAAAATTTGAAATAATTACCTTATCTTGAGTTGGTATTAAAGTATTAAAATACATATTTGCTCCATAATTTTCTTGAACGTATTTTATTAATTTTGCCGATCCATATTTTAAAAATGAATAATCTGCTCTGTTTTTAATTAAGTTTTCAGAATGCCATGCTAAAGAATCATCCACAACAATCACAAAGTCAATCATGTTTTTCTGAAATTGGTAAATTATTTAATTATTAAGATTAATTATTAAAGGAAATTTAACATTAATTAAATTATTAAAAAATAGAAAATCATATAATCTAATTTTCTCAATAAAAATAAAAATCTTTTTAAATATGCTCTTAAGTCAGTATTTGAATCTTCTGGTGTTGGGTTTAGATGATGTAGAGAATATTTAATTTAAACTTGACTTCTGCTTATAACTAATTTGAAAATTTAATTAAAACAAGATCTGCCATTTAAATAAATCATTATTCAAAAAATAAATAAATAAAATTGCAATTTCATCAAAACTACTTTTTATTTATATGAAATTCTTTTTATAAGTGTAATCATAAATATGTCTTAATTCTTTTTGAAAATTTGACAACTTTTAAGATATTTAAATTTTTTTTAAATAATTGTATTTAGAAAAGTAATATAATTTTTCTTCAAAAAATTGATAGCACATTTTCATCAAGTTAATGTGAAGAAATTCACAAAATAAAATCTGAAAGTTCTTAATTTTCTTTTTCTTTATTAAGTCAAAATCCTTAAATTCTTCAAAATATAGTAATTATTCCCAGTACAATAAAATAATTAATTACAAAATACTTTCTTCATTTTAATCCTTCACTGAAATAAAGTGACCAGATGCTGAAATGTAAAAAGTGGGAAATTAAACTGGACACCCCAACAAGACCTCAGATAAGTCACATGATCAATTCTTTTAGATAATCTTTGATTTTCTAGGTTTCTGACATCATCAAAGACAATGTTATAACCAACCAATGAAATTTTACCTATCCATATACTCTTGTTTACAAACAATGATTTCTAACAATAGTGACATTAAACAGTTAATTTTGACATTGAGCATATCTTTGCTTTATTTGCCTTTTGCTTAACTCAGATAATTAGCAAAAACCAAAAACTCCCTTTCATAACTGATCAGCAAGACCATGGGATGATATTCACTGTTCTTCAACAGACAGCATTATCAGACTGAACAATAAATCATCAATTGGACTACTGTTTAGACAAATTGGATATTAAAAAGTTTTTACTCTATAACTTGTATGTGATTCATCTTTGACTTATTAATTCAATGAATATTTACTGTTGTAGTTTTGAATATAATTATAAAAGTCAAAAAGCATATTTTTTTTCATAATTTAAAAAAAAATGAACCCTTCCAGGTACAATTACAACTCTGAATGGGATGATTGAGATCTTACCCTAGGATCAAAAAAGTCAAAGGAACCATACCTCCAATGTGACCCTTCACTAGATACAGCTTACTTCCAAGTCACATACAATTAGAAGTCACATCACTCCACTATGTCTATACTGGCTTTGAGTAGCCCACTTGACTATTCATGGAGTACCTTGTGTTATATAGTTTTACGTGTTGTTTGGGGGCTTGTCACTACATGGGACTTCAGTAGAAGTGACAGCAAGCAGCGAAGTGCACAATTACATGCGGATCATGGAAAATAGGCAGTATACCGATTCACTGTAAAAACTGACCTTTGGAAGTGAATATCTCACAAAGGGTTACATGTACAGATATTGTTCCATTGAGTTTTTTGTTCGTACAGGGTATGTATAAGTGGGAGTGACAAATCCCTCATTCAGAGTTCACATCTTACCCTTTATACTGAAGCAAAATACAAATTAACTACAAATATAATCTTTTAATTGTATTTCTTCACTTAGTGAGATTTTTTTAAAATATTGTATATACTAAAAACATATTTTATTTCTTTTCATGAGCATTAAATAATTCAAAACAGTACTTTTTATTGAAATACTATTTACTAAATCTCTTATGAAATAACAGTTTATTAATTGTACAAACCATAATAGTACCTTAGATCCATTGTTTTTTGCTTGTCTAAATACACCGGAACCGTAAGCAAATGCTAAACTACAATTTTTACGATCGGGAAATCGTGAAAGTAAAAGTTCCAGAGTTTTATTCATAACGAGAAGTGCCTTGGAGGCAGCCATGTTTATTTTGTTATGTAATCCCCTAGCGTCAATTTAGCGAACTAAATTTATTCATTTAGATTCGAAATTTTTATTTATAATTACAGTATTATTAAAAAGAAAAAGTTGAAATTTTTTTAATCTGGAAAACTCTAAAATTCGTCAAAAAAATTTGAAGAATAAGTTAAATGTATCGTAAATTGCCGCGCGTATTGCGTATTCGGCGAGTAGATATTACAGTAATTATATTGATGATTAAATCCCTACAAGAAGGAATTTATTGGGTTGTTCGGAAAGTAATTTCGTTTTTTTTTTACCACTAGACGAATTAGTCGTATTTTTCCCGCCATTTTCATTCTAAACCGTATTATCATTATATATTTTGACAGCTAGCATTTTAATGCTTATTTGTAAAAAATTTTGTTTGATTTTGTGCAATTGTTTATTTTTTGTGTCCCATCAAATATGGAAAATCAAAAGCAGCATTTTTCGGCATATTTTGTTCTTTTAGTACCGAAAAGGTAAGAATGTTGTTCAAGCGAGAAAAAAATTGTGTGACGTGTATGGGGAGGATGTATTGACAGAACAACAGTGCCAAAACTGGTTTACAAAATTTCGTTCTGGCAATTTCAATATTGAAGATGCACCACGTTCTGGATGGCCAGTTGAAGCCAATGAAAACAAAATAAAGGTACTGATTGAAGCAAACTGCCGAATAACAACACGTGAAATCACTAAGAGATTAAATTTGTCAAATTGAACTGTTTATGATTACTTGAAACAAATTGGTTTCGTTTCAAAGCTTGATATATGGGTTCCACATGTTCTTAAAGAGAGATGCTCTCTTTGGTGGGATTTTAAGGAAATTTTTTTTTGGAGCTTTTACCAGACAATTTAACAATTGATTCGAAAGTGTACTGCCATCGAGTAAACAAATTGAGTAATATCATCAAACAGAAAAGGCGGCCAGAATTGATCAACAAAACAGGTGTAGTGTTTTACCACGATAATGTCAAATTTCACACAAGTTTGGTAACTCGTCAGAAACTGTTATAACTTAGATGGGACGTGCTATCACACCAACCATATTCGCCAGATCGAGCACACTCAGATTATTACTTGTTCCGGTCTATACAAATTTTTTTTAACTGTAAGACATTTACTTGAAATTACAATGTCAAAAATCACTTGGATCAGTTTTTTGTAAGCAACGATCAAAACTTTTATGAATGTGAAATCATGCTACTACCAGAAACGATGACAACAGGTATTTCACCAAAATGGTCGATATATAATTCAATAAAATATTTATTTATTATAAAAAACATTGTGTGTTTTTCCACGGAAAAAAAACGAAATTACTTTCCGAACAACCCAATACATATTATCATAACGGATCCCATTCTCGTCTCGACCGTTTTTACGTATCGAGCCAACTTATCGATATTACTGACTATTGTGACATATTCCCAATCATCTTTCAAATCATAGTGGAGTCACCCTGCAACTGAAACGCACCAACCAGTAGTGCAGTAAAGACAAAAATTATATAGTGAATTCTCGAATAATTTGGCTTTTAGAAATGCAATTATTAAAAATTCTTGTTGGAAGAAGACAATCGTGTTAATAACATTTCAGACATTAACAATCCACGAAAAACCTTTATTTTTACGAGTGTTATGTCACTATTAAATTCCACAAGTACTTTCGACCTCCACCGAGGTCTGCTTCAGGTAGTGACTGGCATCGAAGTGTTTAGTGGTTTAGTGGTTTAGTGGTTTAGTGGTGTTTAGTGGCCAGTGTTTAGTGGTTGGAAGTCGTTTATCTTATTTCAGACATTGTTATAAATATTTTTATCCATTTCGATTTTAAAAATGTTCGAACCGTTTTAAATTCGAATTTGTTAGTGCATATTGGTTCGATTATAGAACGATTGTAAACGTTCCAAAAAATTGATCAAATTGAAAATAGTTTGTTTGATTCTCGGCAATTCTCTTCAGCGGTAGGTGTTATATAACAATTACTATGGTTATTGAAATATTGAATGTAAATGGGGTTTGCTTGCAAAACCTTCGCGGACGAAGTCGCGGGTAACAGCTAGTAAGAAATATATTTAAACGAAATGAAGTGTAATAAAGAGTAAATCAAAGAAGAAGAAACTTTTTTAGAATATTCTCTTTGAATTTCTCTGAATACTGTTTAAATTATATTTAAAATGTATTGATTATGGTATACATTACCTTAAAACTGACGAATTTCAGATAATAAAATATATATTTTTGAAATAATGTGACCACCACCTTATTGCTTGCTGAGGGAGTTTTATTAAAATCGAACGCTTTCGATCCACTTAACGGATCATCATCAGGATAGAATATACTAAAAAGGAATACAACATAGATGGAACAATATGTTCAAAAATTCAAAAATATCCATAAACTGATAATATATCAATTAATAAAAATAAATAATAAATTGTAAACGATACCAAATAATAAATAATATACTACGACGACCAAACATTAATAATAAGTTTCCTTTAAATCAAACAAATATCATATTTCAGTTGATGCGCTACTTGTAAGCTTCTTAACGGCAAATTTCCAAGCCGAGGGAAGACCTTCCGCATCCCTAGCATTAATGCATCCGTCTTTAAGTTTGCTCCTGTATATCTCCATTTTTTCGGCCGTCCTCGCCAAGGTTGGTGAGTGCACCTGTCTCACGACTTCCACTTCCTCCCATCCAATCAGGGATCCTTGGGCCTGCGCCATCTGGGCCAATATTGTTGTATTAGACCCTTTTCTAGCATCATACTTANTTATTAATTGATATATTATCAGTTTATGGATATTTTTGAATTTTTGAACATATTGTTCCATCTATGTTGTATTCCTTTTTAGTATATTCTATCCTGATGATGATCCGTTAAGTGGATCGAAAGCGTTCGATTTTAATAAAACTCCCTCAGCAAGCAATAAGGTAGTAGTCACATTATTTGTTTATTTTTGCTGGGTACGATTGTATTCAATATATATTTTTGTAAAATTAAACGTTACGATTCATTCATAATACATACCAGTAGCGTGCTGTCATTAGAAGCGATGGATGCGCCGCTCCCTTTGTATTTTCTAAAAAATAAATACATATTCGACTTATTTCTACTTAAGAAGTAGTTAAATAATTAAGCGATTAGGGAATTGGGGACATAAACAAAACCCTGATGAAAGAGCCGAAATTTTACTTAAACAAAAGCCTAACCGAACCAATCTCTAGCCTACAGTGGTACTGATTTCTTCGAAATATTAGATGTAATAAAGACAGACATTTTTCCAGTTCAACGAGAGTGACCGAAAAGTTGTAAATTTTGGAAATTTCCGTGGACAATACCTGGTCCTAAAACGAACTAGAAAACAAACGACGGACAATCTATTAAGTTTAACATATTTCGACTTTTACAGCTATGGTGAGAAACGTTTAAAATTTACAAGAACCCTGACGCGTCTTTTGAGATATACTAGTGATGCGAATAAACAGGCATTTGACATTGACCGGTATGGGCACCCTCGGGATTTGGAAGCCCGCGTGCATGTACAGAAAACTATCATAAAAACATACAGGTAAATTCTTATCGGTTGGGTTAAGTTATAAATCTACTCGTGATTCGCGTAATCGGGCATGGGCGGCCAAATATCTAGCGGGCGGGCGGCTAACAGCCCGGAACCGGTCCCGGATAGAATTGGATGGTTATACGTTTAGCAGCCACCCGAGGTCCTAGGCTTCCACCGGATAAACCGGGTGAGGTCGGTGCTCTGTAAAGCGTACACGCGAATCTGGTTTTTTGGAATCTGACAATACAGAGTTTCCACTCCGCTATTCCTCCACTAATATTCGAATATATAATAGCAATCTTATCTTTTTTTTCACGTGTAGTATAGAAATTTGTAATAAGATACATAATGTGGTTATAATAAAATATTGTGCGATTATTTTCATATAATTAAAATTAATATGTATTTATTTTTTAGAAAATACGAGGGAAGCGGCGAATCCATCGCTTCTAATGACGGCACGCCACTGGACTTCAATACAATTTCTTTAAAAACCCCAAATAGCGTTTATTAAAATATCAATAACGAAAATATACAAATGACGTATTGCTTAACATTATTACAAAGAAATAATGAAAAACGTTTTCATTGTTAGAATGCGTTCTCTTCTCAGCGATTTTTCTTTCGCCATGTATCGAATTATAATATTTTCGTTATTATTTAAAGAAATTCTGACTATTGCAATAACCAGTGGTAGATGGACGAAACGTGATCCGTCGATGTATCGTAGAAGCGAAAACAATGGATTTGCTACCATCGATACCGAACAGGATCCACACGGATATGGACAATTTCTCAATATACGCCCTATCAATGACAAATATAGAATACTTCCTCTTGAAAGACTTAAACAGAAATCACATCTTCAAGCAAAGGAAGTGAATTTAAATCCATTTTTGTATAAGCTCAAGGAGGCATCTACACTTCATTCAGGATTTGAATATAATCCTAATTATCCTAAGATAATGAAGAAACAAAGACATTCGATCAAGTCAGAGAGGGATAAGATAATGCCTTCTAATGTCCTTTTTCGCAAAGTAATCACTGCCTCGTACGAACGACCAATGCCACGATTAAGTTCTACGGTGAGTTGGCTCGAATCTAAATTAACAGAATTAAGGGATGAAAAGATGAAAGAATTAGATTTCATTTTGACAAAACAATCCGTCGCTACAGAGCCAGCCACGAACAATCCAGAAACCGTATCCATCGACGAACAAATAAAATGGAGATATTTAACATTAACAATGTCGCTGTCGATTTTGTTTTTTATAACAACGATCACCTTTTGTGGCATGTTGATTCAACGACATTACTACAATGAATCCAATCAGAAAATACGTCGAACTGCCGGACAGAGACAAGACAAAGTGAAAAAAAGGAAACCGGATAAGACACTCTCACCCAAACCTGAGAAACAACCTCTATTAGAACCAGACGAAGTTGAGGAAAACACTCGATCTTCGTCCATTTCTTCGACAATTGATATGAAATATTCATTCGACAAATTCCTGAGATTGGTCGAACGTTTATACGAAGACGAAATAAAACAACTCGAAACGACTTTAAGAAGTGTTGAACAGATCTGAACTATTTGTTCATTTATGTGACAGAATTTGCGTTATTTTTCTATATTTTAATACTCATTTAGTTTGTTGTTTAAATGATAAATAAAGAAATAAAAACGGTCTATAAATCAAAAATTTATCTAAACCATGTACTACATTATATTGCTATTGATATATCAGTTATATTGTGATGATATCAAGAAGAAAAAAAAAGTGATGGCAAGCTGAACAATAGAGAGCAGGATCCTTGCCATAATGCGGTTTACGCGCCAATTTTCGTACGTGCGTTAATCAAGCCGAATAGTTTGGCCGAATATTCGGCTATTCGGCTACGCTCCTGGCCGAATATTCGGTATTCGGCCTGAGGCCGAATATACTATTCGTTACAACACTAATAATAATAAAAGAGCTACATATCTCGATAGGAACATAATCAATATTGCCATTAAAATCTCATCAGAGAATAGCGGAAACTTTCAGAAAATGCTCTCAAAATAGTGTTTAGTTCATTGTATATTCACCTACGGTCATTAAAGACGCGTTATCACTCTTCATTAAAAATTTAGTAATTACCTTCGACAAAGGAATCTGTTTCAAAACAGATCATTAATTTAGGCCTAATAAATAACGTAATCTACTCGACTTCTCGCGTTTATAAGCTACATACGTAGTACTTGAAGGTATAACCGATAGAAGAGATTTAATGGGGCGAGTGGTCTCCGTTGCCGCTCATCGTAGTGGTGACCAGACCCTAAAGACTGGGAGGTTCGTCGTGGGTTCGCGCCACGGTCGGACAGGCTGGCTGCTTGGAGTTTTCCGGGTTTTCTCCTTGCCTATAACGACTGAATAGGAGGCCAGTTCCCCATAAAAGTCCTCCCGGAAGGCATTTATTTCCCGCGCGTACGTATGGCTGTTCGATACAGCCGGCTAATCGGTCGCCTAGCGATCATACACATACACAAGTCTACTCGGAGAAAGAGCCTACATTGAGCTAAAATCTCCATATAAACACCATCGAAGAAGAAGAAAGAAGAGATTTAATGAGACAAATTTTAAGTATTGATGAAATTTATATTCAATTGAAAAATATACTGTATAGCTGAAAACTTATCTATGATCAAAAATTCTATTTTATTTACATATCAATATAAAATTGTTTGCATACTATAACAACAGAAAAGGAAAACAGTTTTCAAATTTCCAATACCAAAAAATTGATTTTAAATACTCAGAACGATTAAAAAACTTGCAATATGAATATATTAATATTATTATTTTAAACTCTCCCTATCCTGTGGACACTAAGAAGGCTTTTTTAAGCAAGCCTATTATGGGTTCTACCGGGCTCACAATGGGGCGGCCTGTTTGATGAGAGACTGGATCCGATATATCCGTACAGACCACGAACACTTGTATAACTCTATTATATTCATTTCCAAAAGAATATAGATTATACCAAAAATAGAGATTGACGAAAAATATTTATCAATCACGATTGATCTGTTGGCTCAATTTAAATAGGATATAGACGTATAGGATATTGACTTATTTTATTTATATTATTCATTATATTCCAGCAAATATATATATATATATCAACGCAACTAATTTTTTAAAATATTTTTTCATCAAATATTTTAAAGAAGTATACCTAAAATTTTATTTTTTATTTATTAGGAAAATAAAATAAATACTACGTCATTATATTTAAATATGGTATACTTTGAATTGCGGAATTCGATATATTTAAGCTAATTTTTTACTTTAAACTGAGAATAAGTTTTATGCAATTATAAATATCAATATATAACTTACATATATAGACTATTTCTGGTCATATGAAGTCTTTTGCACGTTAAGGTTAGCAACTTCGATCAAATGCCCCCCGCATGTGATCGAAGTTACTATCGAAGTTGATCCGAGAAAGTGATCCGCGTTGGACAGGTTGTCACAACACGGATCACTTTTCAAATATTAATAGTAGACCAGTATTAATTAATAGTCGTTGACCATCCTCTCTTCCGAGTGGAAGTCAACGACTACTTTTGGTCGAATTATTGCTACTTCAACCTCCTTCCGCAACCTCTTTCCTCCTTCTTTCTATCAGACCAGCGGTATGGTGGCATTCGAATAGGAAAATTACATAATACGAGGTTACCGGCTAGCAAAATATGTTTTAAGTGGTTTTCGAGATGCCGAGTTTAAATATTCGTTCCGTTTTTTCCGAAATTTGATTTGTTGACAGATTACCGTTTGATATTCGGCTGTGAATGGTACAGTTTCTTAGAGTTAACATTAGAAAATATTATATCCGAAAAATTTTAAATATATTTTCAATTCATGTCTACTTGACCATTGAATTTGTTCTATTTTGTACCATCCGAGTATGGCAATGGTAGGCTGAAATAACCAAACTTTTTATATGGTTTTCGATTTAATGTTTGTTATATTATAGTATTTGATTTAAATAACTACAAAAGTTATCTTACGTAAGGGTTTATCACACCGAGTTACCAATCCAACACATTTTAAAATTCCTTAAATTGTGTACAGTAGTGGAATAAAGAA